GGTGCCAAATCTCTTTTAAAAATCCCTTCTGGCCTAGTCACGTGTGATTTCATGGTAACTGTTCCACTAACTGCTGTCCTACTTTCTTTTATGCAACTCTTTATTTTAAAGCTCCATGGGCACTCGAGGACTATAAAAAGTGCTTCTAACTTGACCGGGCAGAATTCCAGCGCGTTCTCTAAATACCCTGAATTTTGTGCACTATGGAAAAGGGGGCATTTTATCTTGATGACCATTGCCAGGCCCTGCGCAAGCTCATTTGGACTAATGGAAAATGATCCCATCTCCAGGGCACACACAAAGGGCTGTTTCTTAATCACTGCCCTCAAAGAATCTGCGGCTTCCCCCTCTCTCCCACCATGAAATTCAAAGCATGAACGAATTCCAGTACTTAGAGAAAATGGTGCTGAAAGCAATTCGACCATTTTACACATCACATCTTCTGCAGTCACTGCCTAATTTGTATTTTTAACTTAAATGCCTAGTGTAGATAAGCATGCCATTTCGCGCTGAGTCTGTTTTAGAAACTATATCAAATTTACAAGCATCGATTTGTAAAATCAGAATTGCACAGTATTTTGTGCATATTTGAAAAGTGCCTTAATGTATTTGTATTTTGAATATGGATGCTGGGCCAGACGCTCCCATTTGAAAGCAGCAAATCTAAACATGGGAACGATTTTAATATCTACATCTCCATGAATAGCAGGGTTTAGATTGTCATCCCTTGGGAAATTGTGTGGTATTCGAACGTAAATGCTATCTTTTAGATGACAAAACCTCAATGTTATAGGTCATTTGGGGATAAAAACTGCTTTGCGTTTTTTTTTGGGGGGGGGGTAAAGATTTTAGTCATGATATATATTAAAATGAATATCTTTTGGCATTTAATTATTGAAGGCAAACACAGCTAACTGACAAGCTTCTAAAAAGAGAGATTCAAATATCATACTGGATAAGCTGGACTCTTTTTTTTCATATCTGTTACTGTTCCACAAGATGATTGGTTCCCTGATTCAAGAAAGCACTATTAAATTTTAAGAATACAGAGGAATAGTGAATCACATTTTAGTACCAACAATCAAAGTTATTGCTATTTCTTATACAAGCAGGAGAATGAAGAACACTATGGTAGTGTGTGTTTTTTTTTTCTCCCATAATATTTGATGCTGATCCATATAATATCTGAAAAACAAATCATAAAATATTAAATAGAGTAAATTTGGCACCATCTATGCATAGCACACTCACAGGTCTGCTTTCCCTGAATACAAATCTAAGTAGCCCAAACAAAACATAATCAAAAAAGGTAAGTCTCTGTCGAATGGAAAATGTCCCCAGCCAAATGGATTACCCACTCACTGGGGATTACTCATGCCTTTGCTGCTCTGTATTGGCTCAAACAGGAGAACCAGCAGTAATTCACCTTTTATCTCTTTCATAAGGGTAAATCCCCCTAGGACAGATTTACTCCAAGTCGGCTGGAAGACTATGAAGCATCGGAGTGCTAATAATTGGGGACGAGTGACCGGGCTCAAATATTGAGGCCATGTTTCAGCCACATTATTGTGCATGGAACGAGGCATTGAAATATGGAAAATCCCCACCCATGTGAGCTGACTGACAAGCCTGCCCTGTGGGATAGGGGCTGAGATCATCGCTCGGGGCCTTTATTCTCAGACTGGTTTTTCTAGACATTGTCCCAAGCATTATGTAATTAATCTTACAGACCCAGGCTTTATTAGAAACTCATTAGCAAATATCCTTGGCTGTAAAAGGCACCATATTGAGCAGAATTTTGGCAAATAACAAACTTCATCGTACTTAGATGGAAGCAGCCTTAGGCTCCAGCGGCTCCAACGGTTCAGGGCAGATAATGTGATTACCGCTCCATCAGCCCAGCCTCCCTCTGAGCTCTGAGCCTTGTGCTTTAGAAATAATTTCAGACTATTTACCACCTCCACCCCCCATTGCTTCAGGCGGGGGCCCAGACCCCTCGCTGCTGCCCCCTGCAGGCTGCGCACTGCTTATAAAAAAAAATGGGCTGAAGCCTCATTATAAAGGATGCGACCCCTGTACCTCGTTAGGGAGCTTTTGCTGGGAGGAAGGGGGAGACGGTGGCAGTGGGAGAGAGTGAAATGAGGACCACAAGCCATTCTTCTAGCGTCACAGTCTTGTCTCCTTTAGACCTGCTAAGAATGTCGAAACCGTTAATTTTTTAAATTTTGCATTGCTTTACTAGTAAAAGTTTCTGTGCAACAGCCGAACACACGGCCTCTTGTCACCCGAGTGGAGGATGCTCGTGCCAGCAGGGACTCACACGAGTGTTGTCTGCCATGCTCCTTCTGACAGTCATGACCAACTCACGCGAATAGTGGCTTCTCAGAGGGCATGGGGGCAGAACAGAATCTGCCTTCTAAACCTGCCCTGCCTCAGCCAGAAAAAAACAGGTTTCCCAGACCAGGCTGCTCCTACGGACCACCTGAGTTGCAAAGTGACACCAGACTGGTGGCCCCTGCTCCAGCTCCATGAGATCAGAACCCCTAGAAAGGGTTCTCATGCTGAGGCAAGCTTGGGAGACAGGAATCGAAGTTCAGCAGAAGGACGGAGGGAGGGGGCTGAGACTCGGTTGAGCCGAACCAGCACGCTGGTGTCTTTTGTTCTGCTGAATGAAGACTGTGGCCTGAAAGGGTGCTGGCCAGCAAAGCCATTTCTGCATCTCTACTCAAAACATAAAACCATGCCCTGCGAGTCTGGTAGTAATGAACCTTCTACAACTAATGACCCAATAACAACAGATATTTTTTCCAGTGTTTGTCCATGTAGCAGCTGTTTCTTCCTGAGGGAGAAAATCAGACTTGAATTGAATCTGACCTGACACTAAGTAGCAAATGTCTTTCATCGGTTTTCATTCCTTCGCCATTAAAGAAGTTACATGTTACGTATCATGTAAGAGATATATTGTATATAAGATCTATAAATGCCTCTAAGTCAGAAAAAGAAAGAAAGGAAAAGAAACCCAGCTACTACCCCACAACTCAGAGAAAGTTCTGGCAGAGCAGCAGCACTTGACCAGGAGCAGTGCGTGAATTATTTTTTAAACTAATGTACGAACAAGATGTCTAAACTAAGAGAGCCCTTTGGATCATATAATTTAGTGGTAAACTTTTTTTTTTAATTTAATGGCAGAATTTTTCTTAAGATTTAACTCAGAAATACAACACCTGAAACAGAGGCAGAGCCTGTCTGCTCGGACTATGGGTGGACGTGGGAGAATCGCAGCCACACCTGCTGTGCCACCTTCACCTCCAGGCCACCTCTGTGACACCTCGGAGCCCTAAGAACGTAGCAGAAAAGCCACCTCTGAGGCCCAACGCCTTCATTTTACACTGAAGGCATCTCCCAAGACCCCGGGATAAGTGGCGTGGCCACCTGTCTTTTGAATCCTGGACCAGTGCCCAAGTGCAATGCCAGCCCCCCCCCCCGCCTTCTCCTCCAACACATCTCGTTACAAAATGCCCTGCAACCCCATATGCCTGTCCCATGGAGTCATTAAAATGAGTAACTCCCACGTGGAGCTGAAACAGATGTGCACATTGACCTTGCTCTCTGCAAATGCTGCTCCATATCAGGCAAATCTCAGTCCTGTCTGCAGCCTATACTGTATACCACACTCCATGCCAAGTCTCAACCAAAAGATTAAAAAAAAAAAAGAAAACTTTCAAGTTAAGGTGACTCTGCAGATCTGTTCAGTTAATAGCCTAGTTAACCCTCTGCCTCCTCGATTTCCATTTATGCATCACTAGGTCTTGACTCTGGCTGCAGAGACTTGTCTTTTAAAAAAAAAAAAAGAAAGATCTGTGCCCAAGCTCTATTATCGTAGGTTCTGATTGGACTGGTCCAGGGGAAAAGCCAGGCATGGAAGCTGGAGATTCTACTCAGATGCTGCTATACACAGCCAGAGCTATTTGAAATAGTATCAGAGACTATCAAAAATTTTACTTTGAAGGTATTTTTTTTTTTTAAGAAATTAAGTGATTGGCACATGGATGAAATCCTCATATACAAATGTATCTATCGCTCTTAAGGGTGATTCAGTGTATCGCTGACAGATATGAAAGCTACCTCACGTGCTGCAGATCTAAAGATAATCCCTGGATCGCTCTAAAAGGAAGCCTTCACCGCCCTTGTGTTTACTTTCAGGTTTACAATGTTCATTACACTATGAGTATCAATGGGAAATTGCAAGACGGGTCAATGGAAATAGATGCCGGGAACAACTTAGAGACCTTCAAAATGGGAAGCGGAGCTGAAGAAGCAATTGAAGTTAACGACTTCCAGAATGTAAGTATATTTTTCTGCATTTGCAGAGTTTAACCAGGCAAGCCTGGGAGACTGCCGATTCAGAGAGAAGCAGCATCTTTCACACACACCCACATGCAAGGTGTTCTTCGTGGCACTCATGGTGCCGCTGATCCACAAACATCAGATAGCAGATCCTCTCTGCAAAAGGACCACTCATTATGTTTTTATATTTTCAAAATGAAAAACAAAAAAAACAAAAAACAAAAAATAAAACAGCACATTGGCCTTGAAAAAAAACAGGTTCTTAGAACTATATAAAGTTTTGGCAGAAAGACGTGAAAGAGCTATTTCTTTCCAAGTAGCTTTCTCTAACACAGATTGAATAAAATGTTCAAACTAACCCTGAGAGTTGCAAGGTCTTTTTTGGAACTTACAGAAAGGAGGGAAATTTTGATGATCTAATAATCTCATCCACAACAGGTAGGACTTATTTACATACTTTTCTCAACTTTTCGGTTTCCCATTGAATCTTGAAAATCAGCGTGGAGAAATTCGCCTATTTTTTGTATGTTTTCTGACAATAGCTTATTACAGATAACACATTCTGGTCTCCTTTGAAAAGGGCAAACATGTTTATTTTCAAAAATGCAGTTTATGGGCAATTTGAAACATAAAGCTAGCGTCCACGCTCCAGTGTACATCTGCAAACCAAACTATCACTCCAGGCCTGCTTTCCCGTGGCCAACATAAATATCTTACTCGCTTTCACGTTCTAAACTGAGGAAGAGGCATCACTGATTGTGCTCTCCTGTTAAATCGGTAGCTGGTGTAGGTGAGACTTCATAATGAAAAAAAGGCTCTTGACAACAATGTCTCTTCTGATAGTTTATTGGCCTACGAATATCTATCTCATCGACCTGTCTTCCTCTGATTGAGGAGAAAAACTAGAGATGCTTTTTGTTTGGATGAAAGAAACTCCCCTCGTGGAGACCGAAACACACTTCACGAGTCCTTTTGACTACCAAACAGACGCGTGCGTGACCAGCCGTGGTGAGGCGAGATATGATTTGATGATGAGAAGGGGTGGGCTCTGCCCTGGGGACAGGCTCTGCAGCCCCGTGCGTGCCCAGCTGCATCTCGTTTAGTCCTAGCTTTGCACACGGTTCTGGTCAACGCAGAAGGATAATTTCTCCAGACTTATTAAGGGCTTTCACTGCAAGACGCAGGACAAGGTAAAAGCATTTTTCTTTGTACTGCTCAATACTAAATTATAAACTGGGACTCCCCCACACACGTCATTCAACCCAGAACAGAACCGAATGCCTCTGATGCGCCACAATACCAAGATATGCAATGCTAGCTACATAGATAAATGAGGAAAACTCCATCTCTCTCAAGATGTGCGTGTATCAGGAATATACTTTTGAAACATTTTAATCCCAAACCTATATATCTGTTTTATAATCCTTTGGTTCTAATAATGGTATTGATTGTGCTTTGTTCTCCTAGGCCAACGGGGCCACAAATATTTTATGAACTGATCAATTCTCTTTGATAGCTTCCACATTTCTCTAAGTCAGAAATGGCGAGTAGAACATTTTTTTTTTTTCTTTTGATGGATAGAAGCTGTTATGGGTTTAAACAAGCCTGGATTCTTGAAAACACATGAATCAGCCACTATGGTGCCTGCATAATTACTTTCTCCTAGATTTTAAACCATCAGTCAAATTCAAGAGGCATTTCATTAGGACCTACTGTGTACAAGGGACGGTGGTAGGCATGGGGGATGCACACATCCACATGGACGCAGCTCAGGTCAGCCTGGGCACCGTGCTACAACGGAGCTGTGGACAGAGTGAGGTGGAGCACAGAGGGGAGGCAGTCGCTGCCGATTCGAGGCGTGGAGCCGGTTTGACAGCAGGGGTGACCGTGGGATCAGGTCTGAAGGAATGACTAGGATTTCAACAGGCAGAGAATAGGGGCAGGGCTTCCCGGGACCAGGGAAGCACATTGAATAAAAATTCCCAGGCCTGCCCTAGAGTTCTAAGGACCCCAATGTGGCCAATGGCAAGGAAGGGGTTGAGGATGAGGGTGCAGATTAGAAAAGGCTCTGAACTGTCAGCCAGCTGTCTCCCCTGCTCACTCAGGGCCTCACTGAGATTTCAGCAGAGCTGATGGTAAGCTGAACCTCTTGAGAGCGGGTAGCACTGAACAAAGAGTTCCAGGCCCTACAGTGTTAAAGAAGGTAAGGCAGGCCTTGTTCAAGGAGGGCTCTTCAGTGAGGTTTCATAGTAGAGGGGAGACATTGGGCCCAACTCTGAATCCCATAAGGAAAAACAGGGATTTAGAGCCAAGGGCCAGGCTGGAGGCGTTGGTGGACGGAACATCACTAAGAGAGAGAGGGTGGTTCTTTGCTAACTGGCCTCTAACAGAGATTTTGCCGAATGCAGACTGAGGTGGGCGGTCAGATCAGGACTGACCCAGCAAGAGTCTTGCTAACATTGGAGTAAGGGGGCCAAGACAGAGCCCAGGGTTAGGGCCTGGTCGAAAAGGGGACTCGGAGGAGCCTGACGAGGAATGCACGCTGGGTGTGTTCATAGTGCACAAGCTGCGTTCTAGAAATTTACGCCTGCAAAAGCGTCCTGCCGGTTCTCTGAGACCCGATGCCGTGTGTAACGAAAATCCTGGCTAGAAATTAAGATGGAGTAAACTGATGGGTCCGTATGAGTGTTCACTACACAAGTCTTTGAACTTTGTGTCTATTTGAAAGTTCCTACTTAAAAAGCCAGAGGGAGAAAACAGCAGAGCAAAACCTATCTGGTAGGCAGGTAGGTTATTGATGTCAAAAATCAATATGGCCCCGAACAATAATATAAAGGAAAAGTAAAGTGAAAGTCATATTTTTGCTCCACTAGTTGAATCACTGTCAGCACCACAGCCGAAAATACAGACGGACCTACGAGTGTATTGGCAAATTAAACACCGGGTAATTTTTTGGGTGAACGAAAATACCATTTTTCTCCATTTGCACAGTAATTTCATTCTTAGGAAATCCATTGCACATTAAAACTATGCCCAAAGCCGCTTTGTGTTTATGTGTCAAGCGGCATTGGGTTCTGGGCACAGACACCCCCAGTCACGTTTTTTCACCCGGGACCCAGAGCGGTTAGGTCAGGACCTCCCAAAGCTGGTGGGACCCGGCATCCTCCGCCCCCTCCACCTGCCCACTGAAGGCCGGGGAGCCCCCAGTCTTTGTGACAGCCAAAAACTCCCTCAAAGACATCTGTAGTGCCCCCTGGGGTGGGGGGTGGGTAAGACCCCTTGCTGTCCTGTGGAACTTGGAGTTGAAGCCACAGAAACAGCTGAATCCCCTAGAAGAAAAAATGTGTGTCGAAAATGAGATCACCTAACTCTTGATAAAAGAATGTTGGGTTATCGGACTCGTCCCTCACTATCTTTGTTAGCAAATTTCTTCATTATCACCAGCTTCTAAGGCCTTATGTGTTTGCCAGAAACAAAGGTTCGCTGGGCTTTCTTGTGCGTTTTCATTCCTTCTGTTTAATCTCGTGACAGATCTGACTGCTCGGTATGGATCTGCAGCTAGACGTGGTGGTGAACACAGGCGAACTGGTTCCCACGGGACCCATCCCGGGGGCGTGTCAGTTCTGTCTGCAGCATGCAGACCGTCAGAACTAGCTCAGGACCAGCTTCGCAGCCCAGGCTGTGAGCCCTTCAATAGAATCAGCTCTCTCCTTTGAGGATGTGCTAACGGTCACGTGGTGTTTTCTCTCTTGCGTCTCACGCTCAGAGAATAGGAGGGTTTGAAGTTGAGAGAACATATCACAAGTCGCATAGAGGTGCAGTAATCTCTTTCCCCTGCATTCTGTTCTTTCAAACCATGAGCTCTGGATTTACACGCAGAATAAGAGGAGCAGACCTTCGGGAGACAGCACAGCAGAGAGCAGTGGTTCCCAAAGTGTGTTCCTTAGGCCACCAGCAGCAGCATGGCGTCCAGCTTGTTAGAAATGCAAAGTTTAGCCCCCACTCCAGTCCTAGGGAATTAAAAACTCTGGGAGTGGGGCCCAACACCCTGTTTCATTTTACAAGTCCTCCTAGAGAATTGGATACAAAGGAAAGTTTTTGAATCTCTGGTACAGAGGAAACTGGGGTCTAAAGGCTGTGTGTGTCTTAGTCCGTTCAAGCCACTGTGACAAATTAGCATAGACTGGCTGATGTATAAACCGCAGAAATTTATCTCTCATTGGTCTGGAAGCTGGAAAGTCCAAGGGGAAGGCTCTGGCAGATTGGGTGTCTAGTGAAGGCTTGCTTTCTAGTTCATAGACGGCCGTCTCTCACTGTGACCCACATGGCGGATGGGGTGAGGGCGTCTCTGGGGTCTCTTCTAGAAGGCACTAATCCCGTTCATGAGGGCTGCACTCTAATGGCCGTTCACTTCCCAAAGGCCCCACCTCCAAACCATCATGACATTAGGAGTTAGGTTTCAACACATGAATTCTGGGGGGAGGAAAACATTGTCCGTAGCAGGCTGTTTTAGTCATTCAAAGACTTTATTACCCTGATCAAGGTCCTCTCTCCCCAAACTGGTGGTCCTCAACCTTGGCTGCGCATTATAAACACATGGGGAGCTTTTAAGCCAGTGTCTAGGTACTACCCTAGGCAAATCAAATGGGAATCTCTGAGAGAGGCCCAGAAATGTGTGTTTTTAAATTCTCTTCAGGTGACATCAGTGCAGTGAGTCCAGAACCTCTGCAGTAAGCCTTGAGCTCCCCCTCTGTCAAGTGGGGACAATGCCTCCACCTCTCTCTGGGCAACAGGTGATGCTGGGGGAAATAAGTGTCACCTATGTGTCCGTGGCCAGTTACATCACAAGGCAGATCACGAGGAGATGTAAGAAGCGCGAGCCTTTCCTTCCCTGTGCCCTAGCCTGTCACCCAGCGTTGGCAGGGCTCCAGGCTCTGAGATTACACAGGGTGTAATTTTCCATGCATATCCTCAAGCGTGACAACTCCATTCTCCTTTTAAGACAGCTGAATCCTGAGCCAGGAACTCTGGACTCCTAAATGCTTTCCTTCCCCCACTCCTTGGCACTGACCCTGACACAGTGCTGTATCTTCCCGACACTTGTGTCGGTGCCACAGAAGTTTGACAAGTTGAGATGTTCAGATTCGTGCTGGTGTCTACATTATTATGGCATGAAATCTGTAGACCTTTAATAGTGTTTTGGCCTCTCACTGGCGATGAAGTTACCCAGCAGGGTGAAAGCAAATACTCTGGGGACAGAATGTACTGTCGTGCCTGATGTGCCCACTGGGTAGGCTAGTGCCGAGCCGTCAGCCGAGACTGGAACCCTACGGCTGAGGTTTCCCTTGAGGCAGGTCCCCAGGCAGATGAGGAAGAGACACTGTTTATATCTCACAAGGGACAAAAACAAAACATCTAAGTCCTTGGGTAAGGTCTAGGAGTGAAATTCAGCCCCTGGTGTTGTAAAAAGTTTGACTATTTCCCCTGGGCTTGGTAACTTAGGGAAAATTAATTAATTGGGCCAACATCTTTTGAGAACCTCAGTGGGACCACCGAAAAGAAAAGATTCAGATAGTGACCTCAAGAAGCTTATAATCGAGATGACAACCACAGGGAGCTACCACAAGGACTGAGAACTAAGTGTCAAAGGAGGAACGAAGACATTGGAGAAGAGGGGCTTATAGGAAGCTGGAGGAAGAGGAGTCCCCTGAACTTGGATGGTCAGAGAGAGCTAGCTGCACAGGGAAGACAGCCTTTCATCTGAACTTGAGGAGTAGATGAGCATACTTTGTCCTAGCTCAGATGCCACCCCCGGTAGAGGCCTCCCTGACCACACTGTCCAAAATGCCAACCCTGTCATTCCTATCACACACTCGGCTTTTTCTTCACAGCGCTTAACACCACCTGATGTTATCTCTATTTTTTATTTTTGGTAAATAACACTAAACGTTCAGCTGCAGGAGGGCACAGATTCCATCGGTTTTGTCAAACCCTATACCCAGTACCTGGAGCAGTGCCTGGCTCGCAGGAGACACTCAATATAGTGAATAAATGAGCAGATGGATGTATGAACATTTACTTCATTTCCCAGGGCATCACAGGAATCCGCTTTGCTGGAGGAGGGAAGTGCTACATCAAAGCGCAGGTGAAGGCTCGCATTCCTGAGGTGGGCACCATGACCAAACAGAGCATCGTCTCCGAACTGGTGAGTACCAGCAGGCTCCAGACCGCGAGAGGGTTTGGCAGATGTTCAAAAGCACCACCCTTTCTGTTACTAGTTACTGGATAGGTTCATGACCAGAACTAAGTTCTATCTCTTCTCTGCCAAAGGAATTTAAACCATTTTGGTCCTACTGGTTGGTTCCAAGTGATCTTTCTTACATGATGTAGCTTATGTAAAGGTTTTGGAAAACCATATTTTAAAGTACTTAGGAAGTTCTGGTAAAGATGACAGGCTAGGTGAAAGCGGGGTTCACCTCCTCCCAGGACCACATTAAAATTACAACCAAATTATAAAACAATCAACCTGGAGAACCACCTGACATCTAGCTGATCATAACACATACATCTGAGAATATAAAGAAAAAGCCACATCAAGATCAGTAGGAGGCAAAGAGACGTGAAGCGGGCTGGCCCGGCACCTGCATGTGGCAGCTGAGCACCGGGAGTGAGAACATGGCTGCAGAGGCCCCCTTGAAGGAGCAAGAAGATCTGGTCCCATACAGGGCTCCCCAGCCCAGGGTTCTAGTCCTGGGAAGAAGAGTTCCTACAAGATCTGACTATAAAAATCAGGGAGGATTCTGGTTGTCCGGGTGAGACAGAAGGAACCAGAAAACCAACACGTCCCCTAAAGGGCCTGCACACAGACTCACTCATTTGCAGACACACACCCTGGGCTCCGGCAAAGGGTCAACAGCTCAGGAGGCACAAGAGACACACGAGGAAAGACTGAGTTCTGTGGCGCTGAGGCAAGGGCTGGAGGGACAGCTGCCATGGTTCCAGCACAGTCTGCAGATGGGCACCATCTTGTCTCTGTTTAGCCCAGCCCCCAGACGGACAATTCTGAACCTGCATTGGCCACTAGGATGGCCCGCCCCTCCCTGTGTCTCCCTGGGACCCTGCCCCACCCAACCCACAGATTCCTGTGGCTGGCCCATTGCCAGGCAGCCAGCCCCACCCTGCGCCTTCCCAGGGCCCTGCATTCATGGGCACAAAGCAGCCCTCTGTGCCACTTGCATGTGGCCCACACATTACAGGAGAAAATTTTGGTGGCGGGCCACTGGTGCCAGCCTGAACTGTAGTATCTCTTGAGTGAATCGCTGGGGTCTGCAAGCCCAAGGTGGACGGTAGCTAGCCTTGCTGTGAAGTGTTACTTTTGCGGGAGCCTGCAGGCTCAGCTCTGGCAGCAATATGCAGGTGACTCCCTGGCCCAGACCTACCGAACTCACACACCACCCAAAGGCTCTTCCAGCTGCAGAGTCTTACAGGCAGCTGGTGGGCAGCCCCAGGCCTTGAGGTGCACTAGTCCTTTAACTAAGCTGCCCTAGAGCCAGTACTGGGGGTAACCGACCTCTGCTCGCAGTGTGGTCTCTCCCACTTGCCTCCAGATCCAGCACGGGCAGCAACCATCCGCAGATCACTTTGTAGCTCCTACCAGGTAGCCCTGAACAATCAAAGGCAGCGATTGACCTTGGCCTACACTGGAGCCCTTCCCAAGGGGCCCCAGAACCAACACACCCAGAGGCTGGCATCAGAACACAACAAAGCATCAACTGACTAGCGGCCATAAGCAGCACACCAAAATGGTAGTCTCAATAGGTATGCAAGCCTGTTGCAGCAAATCCCACTCCGAGCAGTCGGCCCTCACACAGCAGCTCATACCCTGTGGGCATGGCCAGTCCCCGTAGCCAGTCAGCCCATGAGTCAGTCCCATCTATTGATGTGCTAAAGAGCAATCAAGGCTCAGGAGAACACACACAATCCACACAAGGAACATGCCCAGTGCCCCCGGCATAGGTGATCAGGGAGACTATGCCACTGGGCCACACAGGACACCTGCTACATAAGGCCAACTGGCCAAGGCTGGGAGATGTAAAAACAATCTTCCTAATACATAGAAACAGACACAGAGAGGCAAGTAAACAAACAAACAAACAAACAAACAAACATGCTGCAAATGAAACGAGAAAACCCCAGAAAAAAACTGAACAACATGGAAGCAAGCAACTTACCAGAGACAGAGTTCAAAACACTGGTTATAAGGATGCTCAATGAACTTAGAGGGAGAATAGACGAACTTAGTGAGAACTTCAGCAGAGAGATAGTAAGCAGGAAAAAGGATAGAAACCACGGAAAAAGAACCAGTCAGAAATGAAAAATACAATAGAAAGAATCAACAGTAGATTACATGAAGCAGAGGGTCAAATCAGCAAGCAGGAAGACAAAGTAGTAGAAAACAACCAATCAAAACGGCAAAAAGAAAAAAGAATCAAAAATAAAAGTTTAAGAGACCTCTGGACCGACATCAAATGTACCAACATCTGCATTATAGGGGTACCAGAAGGAGAAGAGAGTGAGCAAGGGGTTGAGAACATATTTCAAGAGATAATGACTGAAAACTTCCGTAACTTAGCAAAGGAAATAGATATACAAGTCCAGGAATCTCAGAGAGTCTCAAACAGGAGGAACCCAAACAGGCCCACACCGAGAAACATCATCATAAATTGGCAAAGGTTAAAGACAAAGAGAGAATATAAAAAGCAGCAAGAGAAAGGCAGCTAGTTACTTACAAGGGTCCAGCCAGAAGACTGTCAGCTGATTTCTCAACAGAAACTTTGCAGGCCAGAAGGGAGTGGCACGAAATATCCAAAGTGATGAAAAGCAAGGACCTATAACCAAGACTACTCTACTCAACAAGACTATCAATTAAAATTAAAGGTAAGGTAAAGAGCTTCCCAGACAGGAAAAAGCAGAAGAAATTCATCACTAACAAGCTAAAACATAAGAAATATTAAGGGGACTTCTATAAAAAGAAGGGGGAAAACCCCAATAAATATGAATAATAAAATGGCAATAACTATGTACCTATCAATAATCACTTTAAATGTAAGTGAATTAAATGCTCCAATCAAAAGGGTAGCTGAATGGATAAGAAAACAAGACCCATACATATGCCACCTACGACATCAAATGACACACACAGACTGAAAGTAAAGGGATGGAAAAAGGTATTTCATGCAAATGGCAATGAAAACAAAAGCTGAGGTAACAATACTTATATCAGACAAAATAGACTTTAAAACAAAGGCTATAATAAGAGACAAAGAAGGGCATTACATAACAATAAAGGGATCAACACAAGAGGACATAACCCTAGTAAACATATACGCATCCAACATAGGAGCACCTACATATATAAAACAAATATTGATTGGCATAAAGAGAGAGATCGACAGTAATATGGTCATAGTAGGGTACTTTAACAACCCTTGGCACCAATGGACAGATCTTCCAGACAGAAATCAGCAAGGAAATAGCAACCTGAAATGGCTCACTGGACTAGTTGGATATAATTGATATTTTTGGAGCATTTCTCCCTGAAGCAGCAGAATACACATTTTTCTTAAATGCACATGGAACATTTTCCAGGATAGACCACATTAGGCCGCAAAACAAGTCTTGGTAAATTTAAGAAGATTGAAATCATATCAAGGGTCTTCTCCAACCACAATGGTATGAAACTATAAATCAACTACAAGAGAAAAACTGGAAAATACACAAACACTTGGAGGCTAAACAACATGCTACCAAACAATGAATGGGTTAACAATGAGATCAAAGAGGAAATCAAAATATATCTGAGACAAATGAAAATGAAAACACAACAATTCAAAATCTGTGGGACACAGTGAGAAAAAGCAGTCCTAAAGGGAAATTCATAGCAGTACAGATTTCAAGAAACAAGAAAAATCTCAAACAAACAATCTAACCTTACACTTATAAGAACTAGAAAAAGAACAGCAAACAAAACCCAAAGTGAGTAGGAGGGAAGAAAATAATAAATGTCAGAGTGGAAATAAATGAAATAGAGCCCAAAGATAAATGCAAAATATCAATCGAACCAAGAGCTGGTTCTTTGAAAAGGTAGACTCCACAATAAAGGATTATTTAAAAATAATACGAGCAATTATACGCCAACAAATTGGACAATCTGGAAGAAATGGATACATTCCTAGAAACCTACAGTACAGTAAGACCGAGTCAAGAAGAAACAGAAAATCTGAACCGACCAATTACCACCAAAAAAATCAAATCAGTATAAAAACCCTTCCATAAAACACAAGGCCTGAACAAGATGGCCA